TGATATGGCAAACTTGATAGTAGTTTTTATTGAGGAATGGATATTTTTGAAATCTCCTGTGAAATGATTTGTATTTATATTATTAAAGCTACCTGTGGAAATAGTATATCTATAGATAATATTAAAAATATATCTAAACATGCAATTCTTTGTCCAAAACAATGAGCATGCTCAAAAATTAAATGAATACATTTTGGATATACTTGATGGAGATTTTCACACATATTTGAGTGATGATTCCATTGATTCAACAGATGATGCTGAAAAGGAAAATTTTGCCATTGAATTTCTTAATAGTAGTACTCTTTTGGGAATGCCGTGTCATAAATTAAAATTGAAAGTGGGTGCAATCATCATGCTATTGAGAAATCTTAATAGTAAATGAGGTCTTCGTAATGGGACCAGTTTTATTATCAAAAGATTACAACCTAACATTATCGAAGCTGAAGTATTAACAGGATCTGCAGAGGGAGAGGTTGTTCTGATTCCAAGAATTGATTTGTCCCCATCTGACACTGGGCTCCCATTTAAAGTAATTTGACAACAGTTTCCCGTGATGCCAGCATTTGCGATGACTATTAATAAATCACAAGGACAAACTCTAGACAGAGTAGGAATATTCCTACCTGAACCCGTTTTCCGACATGATCAGTTATATGTTGCTTTCTCTCGAGTTCGAAGAGCATGTGACGTTAGTCAAGCACTCTGAAAGTGTTTTTACTCTTAATGTGGTGTACAGGGAGATATTAGAATAAGTTTAATCACTTTAACAGTCATTGTTTGCATCACTGTTGTTTTTCTATCATGCTTTTATTGTTTTTATGTCATGCTTTTATTGTTTTCATATCATGTTTTTGTTGTTTTTATATCATGCCTCTGTTGTTATATTCTTTTGTTACTGTTTATTAAAATTTATAAATTTTCATATACATTTTACTAATTTCCTTTCATCTCTCACACTTCTATTATAGAGAAAGGGCAAATAGCAATATTAAAATATTTTCTCTAATTAATTCCCTTTTAATGTGCACGAACTTTGTGCACTAGGCCACTAGTACACTATATATGCCTGGCGTCCAATGAGAGTGTACTGCGTGTTGAGAAGCAGGAGAGGTCTGGAAGACTAGGCTGAGCAGAGCAGGCTTCACAAAAGGAACAGGACAAAATCCCTGAAGCATGGGCAGGATTTCATCAGACAAACATGAAGAGGATATTCATGAGTAGGCTGGGCAGGTGCTGGTGAGGAACGGACCTCTATTGGCTGGTTTGGCCAAGGCAAAAAGTTTGTGTTGGGGAGGAGAAGGAATTAAAAATAGCTTTGGACAAAAGCACAGAGAGCCCTGTGTGCCAATGCTGCCCTTGTCCTATGGCCATGGGGAACAACTGAAAGATTCTGAAAATGACATAATCCAAATTTCTTTTTGGAAGACTTTGAGTCTATTTAGACTCAAACCTGTGAGGCAGGAAAAACATCAGTGAGAGTCTAGTTGCAGTGAGATTGCCTGATTGACGCCTAACTTCTCCCCTGCTGGCCCGATTGCCCTCCCCTGCTGGCCTGGTCCCCCCCAACTTCCCTCCACTGCTGCCGGGTCCCCCCCAACTTCCCTCCCCTGCCGGCCTGGTTTCCCCCAACTTCCCTGCTCAGCCACACTTAACAGAATCAGCCATTGTTCACACAGCTCTCAGCGGCCCGACAGCCAGGACTCTCATTCACCTGCATCTCAGGCTGTGACAGTAGAGAGGTGTGGACTATGTCCACCTATCTATCTATTTAGACTGGTCTCATGATAGAATTCAGGGTAGAATTCAGGGAATTTGATAGGTAATATGCGATAGGTAATAGGTCAGGGCACTCTCACATGGGAGGAGCTCTGCTCAGCCACACTTAACAGCCTCACTATAACCCAATTTGATTATTGAAAACAAGTGGGAAAGGATCAGGTGACCAAGAAGATTGAAAGGCATTAAACCTGTGAGGCAGGAAAAACATCAGTGAGAGTCTAGTTGCAGTGAGATTGCATGGATTTATAGCAGCTGTTCTCAACCTGTGGGTCGCAACCCCTTTGGTGGTCGAACGACCCTTTCACAGGGGTCGCCTAAGACCATACTGCATATTAGATATTTACATTACGATTCATAACAGTAGCAACATTACAGTTATAAAGTAGCAACAAAAATTATTTTATGGGTGGTCACAACATGAGGAACTGTATTTAAAGGGCTGGAAGGTTGAGAACCACTGATTTATAGTGGGCTGAGTCCACTGACCTCCTGTAGTGCTTTGTGGCTGAGCCCAGAGAAAGCAGATACTAGAGTTACTACACTGAGGAATAGTGGTGAAGGAGTTACTAACTATTAAAGGTTTCAACAAGGAGGCTTCTGTAGAGTCAGAGAATTGAGATCCATAGCTGAAAGGGAGCTGCTGAGCCTATTCCCTTATCTGTAAATTGGGATAATACTTTTAAAATGAGATCATGTAGAAAAGCAGCTAGTACATTGCCCTGTTTATAATTGTTACTAGAGGCCCAGTGCACGAAATTCATGCACGGGGGTGGGGGAGGCAGTGTCCCTCAGCCCAGCCTGCACCCTCTCCAATCTGTGACCCAGGGATCGGGCCTAAACTGGCAGTTGGACATCCCTCTTACAATCTGGGACTGCTGGCTCCTAACCGCTTGCCTGCCTGCCTGATTGACGCCTAACTCCTCCCCTGCTGGCCCGATTGCCCTCCCCTGCTGGCCCAGTCCCCCCCAACTTCCCTCCCACCCCCAACTGCCCTACCCTGCTGGCCTGGTCGCCCCCAACTGCCCTACCCTGCCAGCCATCTTGTGACCACATGGGGCCAGCCACCTTGTGCAAGGGCATGATGGTAATTTGCATATTACCTCTTTATTATATAGGATTTGTCAAATTGTGACTTCAAATGTGAATTTCAAAGGCTGTCTCAGTAGTGTAATTTCAAAGTGTCAACTTCTACAAAATTTCTATTATGTATCAGACACCGTTCTAGATACTCTGGTCAGTCATTGTCCAGCACCTCAGGGCCTTAGAGTATAGGATAATCAGATGTATATGGGGTGACAGGAAGGTGAGGTGAAAGTCTGGTTCAGAAGCAGCATCACTATAAGCAGCATCATAATATTGACTGTTTATTGCGTATTTATTCTGTTCACATGCTTATGTCAGTTAATTTTCATGGCATTGCTGTGAGGTTACACTGTTACCTCCATTTTTTTTGTTGTTATCCCCATTTTTCTGGAGTTAAGTGTTTCAGTATATCTTTCATTGGGAATGACTTTAAAGTTTTTTGAATTCTTCATTCCCAGGTTCTAGTAAATTCCTCTCAGGTTTTTCTATTCAAGAACCTTTACTTAGGGGTAGAATTTTTATTTCTACCATTTGTTTGCCACCTTGTAGCCTTCTTCTGTCCTCAAGTACTTGGACGCCCAGATGGGAGGCTGGGGATTGTTATTGGTGCAGGCCCTGAATCTCCGCAATTAACCCACCTGCTTGGCCTAAGGGTGTACTCTGCCTCTACACTACGTGTCTGCTAAGATTTGGAGAGCAGCAAGTGCATGAAATGACCTGAAGTACACTAGTTACTGTCTTCCAAGAGGATCAAGTCAAAGTTTGAGTGAGGCACTCTAGTCTGGACTCCCTTTGAGTGTAGCACTACTTACCCCACTTACGCACACCCATTTCTCTTGGTGAAACCAGTTTTCCTTCCTACTCTGAATGGGAGCAGCTGATGAAGTCACAGTTGTTTTGTAGCTTGCCTTTCTACTTTTCCCACCATAACTAGTTAGGTCTTTGAGCTTCAGGGAAGATGATCTCATTGTCTTCTTAAACACTGACCCAGCCTACATGGTTCCTGCCTTGATCTCCTCATGACCCCAATTCCCCATCCTTTGTTTACAGGTTAGACCACATGCTACAGGGATACCATTTCCAGGGAGGCACCTCTCCTACATTATTTATTTTAAAAGAGCCACAGAGACATATCTACACTAATAAAAGAAAGATGCTAATTGACCATACCTTTCCTACACCCACAAGCCAATCAGGAGAGTATGCAAATTAACCCAACAAAGATGGCGGTTAAATTTGCATACTGCAGGTGGGGCAGGCAGTGCCAGATGCTACCAGGCGGTCTGGGCCCCAGATTGGGGACCGGAAGGCGGGCCAGGCAGCGCCAGATGCCACTGCGGGTCAGGGCCTCCAATCGGAGAACACGGGAAGGCAGGACAGGCAATGCCAGACACTGCCCGCGGGGTCCAAGCCCTAGATTGGGGATGGGGGAGGTGGGATGGGCAGCACCAGATGCCACTCGGGAGGTGGAGCAGGCAGTGCCAGATGCCACCCGCAGGGTCCGTTCCCCAGATTGGGGACTGGGGAGGCGGAGCAGGCAGCACCAGACGCCACTGCGGGTCCAGGCCTCCAATCTGGGACCTGGGGAGCCAGGGTGGCAGTGCCAGATGCCGCCTGGGGTCCAGGCCCCAGATCTGGGACCGGGGAGGCGGGGTGGGCAGCTCCAGATGCCACCGCGGGGTCCGGGCCTCCAATCTGGGACCCAGGGAGGCGGAGCGGGCAGCACTAGACGCCACCCGCGGGATCTGGGCTCCAGATTGGGGACGGGAGAGGTGGGGTGGGCAGCGCCAGATGCCACCCAGGGAGGCGGAACAGGCTGCGCCAGACGCCATCTGTGGGGTCCAGGCACCAGATCAGGGACAGGGGAGGTGGGGCGGGCAGCGCCAGATGCCGCCTGCAGGGTCCGGGACCCAGATGAGGGACCCAGAGAGGTGGGGCGGGCAGCGACAGATGCTGCTGCGGGGTCCAGCAGAGCAAGAAAGCTGGTGGCTTGGAGGGCGTGGCTCCTCTGTCACCCCAGCTTCCTCATCACAGCTGTGGAAACTGACAGCAGGGAGGAGGAAGTCCCACCCTCACAGAATCAGCCAGAACCAGCCCTTGGTCACACAGCTCTCAGCGGTCCAACAGCCAGGACTCTCAGTCACCTGCATCTCAGGCTGTGACAGTAGAGAGGTGGGACTATGTCCAAAGAAAAACTGTTGATACAATGTAGCTCTGTAGCCGAAAGATGCCTGCGCTATCAACAGAAAATGTCTGCAGAGCAACATGCGTCTGATCTTGACAGAAGGCGGCGCC